GATATATATATATATATATATCTGCAGTGTTTTATTTTAAATTACTCTCTTTTGTGTGTTAACTCCAGCAAAAATTAGTAATACAAACATTATGAGATTGTGTGTTTTGTGGGCCTGAAACAGGCTTAATAATTTTCCTATTATTATTTTAATTATAATAATGACAGGAATTTGGCATGAAATTATAATACTATAAATAGTAAATGCCAAGTCTGATGGTGAAGAGTTCAGTAATCTAAATGAAAAATAACTAAAGACAGTAACTAAATTTAAAAATAAGAAGTGACCTTTAACAATGATAAATTCACTATTTGGCCAGTAGGGGGCGTATTGTTTACAATTTGGGATCATTTCTTAACTAGATTTACAGTAAAGGATGAAAGAAGCACTGTTAAAAACAAGTAGTCAAATATTAAGTTCCTGTTGTTTAGAATAGTTTGTAAAGGCCTTATAAAATGGATAGCTAAAACTAAAATTGCCCTGGATTATTGGAATTTATAAAGTGCATATTTTTGAGGCCTCCATAATCCCGCACCATCTAACACATGTAGTCAGAAGGATCCAAAGATCCATCACAGGCAGGAACGTCATCATAATTTTAGGCTTTTATTTAATCAACTTAACTGTTCTTTTTCAGGGCAGTTTATACTAGACACAATTTCTGATTTTTAAAAACGAGATTTGGCATACAAGTTAAAAAATGTTCTGTCTTTTTTAGGGGCGGCTGTGGCTGAGTGGTTAGAGCAGCCGCCCTCCAATGGGAAAGCTGTGGGTTCAGTTCCACCAGCAGTCACATGTTGACGTGTCCCTGGACAGCAACCCCTCATTGCCTCCGATTTGTGTCCCATCAGTGTATGAAAGTGATAAAGCTCTGATTATTCTTTGTATAGATCTAGTAGAGTGCTGTATGAATGAGTGAATAAGAACACAGATTGTAGTGTAAGAGCTTTGAGTATCTTGATACGATAGAAAGGTGTTATATAAGTACAGTCCATTTACTATTTCTTTTTAAATCAGCACCGAGTCAAACTTTTACACACAAGTTCAAATATAAATGCACCCTTAGAGATGTGGCGTTCATGAACGATCCATATCTTTCGAACGGCTCTTTACAACAAACGACAGGAACCGAGTTGCAGACAGTTCCTTGTTTTATTTTGACTCCATGTGATTTCTTTGAGTTTTCTTCCTCAAACGCAGAGACAAACACACCTCTTTCGCTTTTCCTCTGAGACGCGAGAGATCAGGCAAAGGAGAGGAGCGCCGCAGCTGGACTCGCTTGACAAACGTGGTACGGCCCTGATGTCGTATGTCACTGTGTACAGCCGTGCGTCATGACGTCAATACCGTTCAATACTGAACGGCTTCTTGAAGAGAACAGATCATCAAGATCTGATGCCTTCAAAGAGCCACCATCTCTGCACACCCCCACTAATGTTTGGTTAAATGTTTCTGTCTCTGTATCCCTGCGACTTGCCACCTCTTTAGAATGTACTCCACCTCTTACAAAGTGTCTGCAGATTAGCACCAGCAACCCCCACGATCAGCAAGTTGCACCTCGACCACAGGCTGTGTCTTTATCAACAAGTTTCTCACTCGATTCTGACGGACTGGATCACTTTTCTTGGCAGAATTCACTTAATGGTTTTCCTGGCTTTAATCAAAGTCCAAAACCTTCAGTATAGTTGTTGTTGGGGGTTTTGGAAAGCCATTACAGTAGCCTCTGGAAGAACTGGTTTCTGATTGATCCAGTTAGAAACCAGTTCTGTTTCCTGGTGTGCTTTTAGTCACCTTGGAACATCCAGCTGAGTCCAAGTTTCAACCACCTAGCTGTTGATTTGAGGTGAATTTGAACAAACGGATGGATTTATTACTCTAACCACTTTGTGCAATGAACCAGCACCACAGCATGATGCTACTACCACCATGCTTGACAAATCACACAGATATCTTAGGTTTAAAAGCCTCAACAAGATTCCTCCAGATGTATTTCTTGGTATTTTGGCCTATTAGCTCAATCTTTGTATTGTCTTACTATAAAACTTTGCCCTCTCAGTCCATGGTGATGTAAAACGAGCTACACTGTGTACAGTGATACAGATGTTCCAGCTGTTTCTAGTTCACGGCAGACTTGAGCCCTGGTGGTTCCTGAACAGCCTAACCAATTCATTTCTTCTGTTAAGGACAGATGACCATTTGTTGATCCAGTAAGTGTGGACAAACAAATTATTCTTGTGCTTGCAAAGAAAAATTCCACCTTCAGTCAATCATGATACTAATGGAAAGTTAATAAGTCTTGGCCTTGCCAAGTTAAAAGCCTTACAGTGGTGTCCAGTCCTGGTTCTGAAGATTACTATCCTGCATGTTTTAGATATTCTCTGCTCTAACGCTCCTCATTCAGTTGGTCTTTTAGCACAACTTTGTTCTCCAGAAGCCTGTTAATCATACATTGATTCAAATCAGGTGTGTTTGAGCAGTATAACTTCTAAAACACACAGAATAGTGGTCCTCGAGTACTATGACTGGACATACTGCTCTAGAACTTTCATTAAGACTAAAGACCCAACAAGTGTAACAGAAGAGTTTTTGTCCTTTGTATCAAAGGCCAAGCTTTTGTTGGATGACTGAACAGCTCTGATTTTCATCCTTGAATCTCTTGCCAACCCTTTCTAGATTATCAAATAAACTTCTCTGTTTGGATCCAGGGGAGAGTGATAAGGTGTGGACTACTGTGGGAATGGCTGTGGAAATAAAGTTATGACATCTCAATGATTTGTTACTCCAACTCACAGAGGTTTAACGAACATAAAGATAAAAATAAAATAAACACATGAAACGACTGCTCTAAGAATCCCATTTTCAGGTTTTCTCAGGCTACTGCAGTGTTTCCCTCTAACATCACCAACACTGCAACATGAAATGTCAACAGATGGTGCCAGGCAGAGAGGGGTGATGCCTTCAGGTGCCCTCTGCTGCAGTTTAACTGAAGCTGTCAGCTAAAGCTCCATAATCAAAGAACACAGGAAGGTGAAATTACTTTTCTGCAATTTGATGGCTCTCTCTTTAAATTTGATAAATAAAAAAATATGCACATGCAGTTAATCAAATGAGGGGAAAGTCTCAACATTAATTATTCATACCATATATGTACATCATTTACTGTTGTTGATGCTGTATTTATCTTGACAGTCCTTCAGCCAGTGCTGTACCTCTGATGATCTCATTCCTAATCTTATCCATCCTTGTCACTACTAAGAAGAACCTCAACATCTTCATTTCTGCCTCTTCCAGTTCTTATATAGAATATATATCTCTATGGCGCTGCTTCCTTCTCTCCAAGTTCTCTTCCACCTGTTCTCTGTTCTCACCACAAATCACAATGTCATCTGCAAACATCATAGTCAAAACTGTATATACTATAAGCATATACAATATATTTTTGAAAAGAGTGAGAATGACATCTCTGAATAACACAAAAAGTGGTACTTTAACAAACTATACTAATATTAATTAAACCAACCACTTGGCATTTTTACATAAAATTATGAATAGTTTTATTTAAAAAATAAATGTCAGGGCCGTTCAAAGTTGCTTTTTTTAAAGTAACTGGCACATAATGTTTTCAGATAACTAAAAAGTTCAGCTAAAAAGTAGAAAATTGACACTAAAGGAAAGTTTAACTGCGCGTTGAACAAAACAAATGTTTAAAAACAAAATTGCATTTTAAGTTCAGTGACCAATTTTTACTAGAGGCGCTTCAGAGTTCACCGTTTGTACATTTTGTCCGAGGTTCATTGAAAGCAACAGAAAGCGTATTCACGAACGAGTCGTACGCAAACACTCTTGCGCTCACTTCTTACCCATGATGCAGCGCGGCCGCGTACAACATAGCCATCTTGTCAGAAGTGACGGAAGGAGTGAGTTGTAGGCGCTGTTAAGATTAACATTTGTTTCAAACGTAGGAAATAAAAGCTTTATTTTTATTTTCTAACCGGACAGCTTCAAAGTAAGTGTCGCCGACGAAAGACTCAAAGCCGGTGGAGTGAGTGGAGACGGTTTTGGGAAGATGTCTCACATACTTGTACCGACGTAGGGGGAGTGTGCGGCGTTGTAGCTAGCTCAGTAAGTAAAGGATTGCGGGGCCTCCTCAGCCTGAAGTAGCGCCCACAGCTGGGCGAGACACTTCGCAACCAGGCCGGTGAACAAGCGGACATCCAGTGTATCAGCAGGCCGACCCGGGCTGAGTAAGGACTCGGATTTATCGGTGAGAAAAGCCGCAGTGCTGCTGGACGAGACGACACGAAGTGTGGCGTCGCTCGGTGAGCTCATGAAACGCAACAGGAGACCGAGAGAGGAAGAGGATGGCGCAGATTCATCTTGACTACAGTTAAGTAGGAAGAGGAAAACCGATGCGAGTGTGCTCTTTATAATGATCTGAGCTTTTACAAAGCTTCAAAACAGCTCGTATCTTTTTGTTTTGTTTAAATATTTTTGATGGAGGATAAACTTGGACTCCCGCCGCCCAACATGTCCAAGATGCCGGCTAAGAAAAAGAGCTGCTTTCAGATTACAAGCGTGACTCAGGCCCAGGTGGCGGCTGTCGGGGCCGCGGACGACTCCGAGAGTCTGGACGACCCGGACGAGTCGCGAACTGAGGACGTCTCGTCGGAGATATACGACGTGTCGCGGGCCGAGTACGAGCCGGCGTGTGACAGGAGTTCTTCGGAGGAAGCGCTGAATAACGTCGGAGAGGCAGAGGTCAGCGCTGTGGCGCCCTCAAACGCACCTCAAGCAAGTCAGTCAGGGCTGGTATGCAATCCAGTCGGGGATGTAAGGAAAACTGGAGTGTCTGGTTCCAGTCAAGGTGGTCAGAACTCGCCCACTGGTTCACCTCTGACCACTCAGCCTCATGTGTCTGTGAGCACATCCGCTGCAGCGACCAGCCCCGCTCCTGCTGCCACCTCCACAGTGAGCTGCTCTTCACGCTTCAGGGTCATCAAACTGGATCACGGTACTGGAGAACCTTTTCGAAGAGGCCGATGGACTTGTACAGAGTTTTATGAGAAAGAGTCTGATCCCTTGCTTGGCGGTAGGACTGTAGATAGTATAAGACACCCCAGTGTCACCCAGGACCCCACTGCTGATCGAGACAGTGGGCTTGGACCTTCAGTGGGTTCTGTAGTTTCCCCAGTAACACACACAAGTCCAGTCTTTGGCTCTATGGCAGAGGTGTCTCACGCTTCCTCTCGTCTACATTCAGCAGAGACACTACCGCAGCAGCAGGTCCTGCATCAGAGCTACACCGCCCAGCAACATGGAGTCGGCGCTTCAGCCACGCACACTTCTTTTTCCAGTATCAAGTCCACAGCAGCGCCAGCTCCATCAACAGTGGGGGTTCTTCAGCCGCACCTTGCACAGAACGTGCTTCCTGTTGGTCAGAATGGCCTTCCCCACTCAGATGTCCATCTACAGAAATCTCCCATCATGCCTCCATTATACCCACCCCAGCAGCAGGTTCCTCTGGGTCACCACATGACCAGCCAGTCAACAGGAATGATGCAGACGGAGTACTATCAGCAACAACAGTCTACACCAGTGCCAGCAGCACTGTCTGGTGTCCAGTCCCTCCCAGTGTCCAGCCTCTCTGCAGGGACTGTTGGACAAGCCCCTGCTCCGGCGTTGTCCCTAGCTTCTGGAGTAGCTTCGGTGCCAAGTCAAGTTGGAGACGTTTCCGTAGCACCATTGGTCTCTGTATCTGCTGGACAACCAGCTCTTGCTGCCTTGCAGCAGCAAACTGTAGGCATCCTGGTTGCTGGATCAGGTGTGCCCCTGCAGACTGCTGGTCAGTTTCCTTCCACAGGACTACCCCTTCCTTCTGGTGTGCAAAACGTGCCTGCTATGGCAGTGGGTGCTAGTGTGCCCACAGCTGTGCTCAGTGCCTCCAGTGCAGCAATGCCAAACGTGTCAACCTTCAGTTTGCCTCCTAGTCAGATGCCTCACAGCATAACTCCTGTGACTCGGGGGGTGCAGGGCCTTCCAGTGATTGGATTTGGACAGGCGGAGGGTGCTGGTGGTGGGAGGAAGTCAGAGGGACTCATCGATGCACAGTCTCCAGGCTCTGGGAGGGAAATGGTGAAGCCCTTCATGCCCGACACCTTGAATCTCAACACCCCGACTGTCAACAGCCTCTTTGGAATCCACATACCTGTAGATGGGGACGAGGACAGGTAACATGTCTCTGTTGTTTCCGTGTTTTTAAGGTCTCACTCCTTTCTAGCATTTTTACTTTTTCACAATGAAATGGGGTAGAATAATTAAAGAAGAAATACAGACATAAAAGTTTGTAACTGCCTGCTTATCAGCCACTTCCTGCAAAATTATTTAAACTACAACGTTTGAGTGAATTGGTAGCACTGATCGTTTAGCTTGTCGGGTGGTCAGGATTCCACTTTGAACCTCTGGATGAAAAAAGTGGAGGGAAGCAGTAGAGAACAGAAAGAAAATGTGTTTCTTTTATTAGGACCTGAAGAATGGTTTCCCAAACTCAAATGACAACTTGTTAAACACGCACAAACTCTTACTGTGTTTGACGGTGTGTGTTAGTATTGTGTAGCAGAAGGTGCGATCTGTTCACTCGTCCTCTTCCACATCAGATTTCACCTCCAGGGGCTCATAGTATGAAACAAATTCAGCAGATCTTGTGTAATTTTTTTGCCAGTGCCATCATGGATCTTAAGCTGCTTGCTTAACAAAAGTGAAAAAACATGAAAATTAAATGTCCTTGTGGAGTGAGAGTAACACAGCTGCTGCAGGACACACAGCGGTGTGTCAAAGTTGCAGGGCCAGATGAAATTTGTCCCATTTTCTTCCCAGATTTGTATTTGTCTAAATTCCTTGTTCGGTGATGTTACATTTTCACCTAAAAGTTTTTTTTATGGAGGATTAGCACCAACTCAGCACTAAATGATAAAAACGCTCTCACATTGTCCAAACCTGCCCAAGTTCTGGCATAAAAAATATATTTGCCAGATGGATTAGTGAACAACAAATATCAGCAAAAAAAAACATTCAGTTCAATTAAATGCTTTATTAAGCTGTTTAAAAACTAATCTCAGAAAATTAAATAAAACAACTGGACTTGTGTTCTGTATTTGAAGGTCTCTGCCTTCCCATCAGAGGAGCTTTCTCAAGACAAAATATGACACTGAAGCTTTTTAAGAGCTTTATGCACCGTAATCTAGATTATTGTGCAGATTCACCTGTCCTCCCTGCTGAGGATCATTAGAGACTTTGCCTGGCTCAAGGAGAGATGTTTTGACATGCATGAAGGTGTGAACTGGAGTGAAACGGACCGGGTATCAGGCTGTAAATCAAAAATCTGAGATCTCTTCTGTTTGTTGTTTTTCTTGTTTGAAGTCAATGGTTTCCTTCACCCCTTTTTAAACCATCTGTCCAAAATATGAATATTTTGTTCTCTAAAGAGTGTCCTTTATCCTTGAGGTGAAGGAGCACAGCTGAGTCTTGTCCTGATGATCTGGCTCTCCTGTGTTGAGACATGTATCTGTGGAGAAGCTGTTTATAGACGTCTCTGCACTGAATACACCACACCGCTCAGTGTTTCCTTGCTAACTTGAAAAGAGGCCTGTTAGGATATCCACCGGTTTGGAGAGCTTTTTTGATGATCTTTTCCCTTCTGTCTTCATGGGGACATGTTTGGCCTCATGGTGTAGAGAAAGTTTGTGTTCCAGTGGGTGGCGAGAGTCGAACAGAAGGTACTGATCATAGTGAACTGAAAACCTTAACGTTGAGGGTTCCATCTCAGAAAGGCATCTTGTTGTCATTAGCAACCTGTCTTGTAATTTTGGTGCTGTCCACTAGTGTGTTCAAGACCACCTAACCCAGACCAAGTCAAGACCAGAGTGTACCAAGACAAGACCAAGACTTTTAGGGTCTGAGACCAAGACCTCAAATAAAATATAAAATTTTATTATAAAATATTTTTATAAAAGTTACATACTGCAACTTTAAGTTTGCTTTTATAAATTTTCAAAGCTACATAAAGAAATCAGACATTCAGTGGCCTAACTTCATGTGATTCAACAATAAAATACACAACTGTTAAATTGGAAGCAGTTTCATCACATGCCAAGCCTGAAAAAACTGACGTGGCAAAACACTCTTCATAAATCTGAACTCAAGACCAAGGATAACCATATAGTTGCATTAGTTACAAGTATATTCTTTGTGATTTAAATTGGCAAATTTTATAACTGATGATTTGGCAGACATCTTCTCCTGCACACAGACAATCGCTTCTCATTTTCTTGGAGTGACCAGTGTTGCCAGATAGAGTTGAGATTTTCCAGCCCAAAAGTCTTGTTAAAAACCACCACATCACACAAAAATCTGCCCAATCAATATATTGTTACAGTATATTTACTGTTTAAACATGAACACATATCAGTTCAAGCCAAGGTAATTTAACAATATGTGGCAAAATGAAACGATCCAACAAAAATCTTCCCAGAGTTCCCAGCAAAAAACGGAATGAAAACAGCCCATTTGGCAATAAACTGCCCAATCTGGCAACACTGGGAGTGACACGTGCGAGTGAAAGGGGATGGGCATGAGAGCGGTAACAAAAAATGTGTTTAGCAATGAGTCACATTATCGCTTGGATTTGAACCAGTACATTTTACATCCAATAAAAACAAAGATGTTAACAAATAAACTGGACAATATTCTCAGTTTAGTGATATTTCCACGGTTGTGGTCTTGACTGGACTTGAAATAAAAGACCGAGACCATCAAAATGACTGGCCTCGAGTACTACAACACTACTGTCCACACAGTTGACATGTGGTGAATGCTTCTGTTTCCTTGGCTTGGATTTTGATCCTGGTATCGTCCACACACCTGAACCAATGGCTCGGTGTTGTTCCCTTCAAGGTTCTCTCACGTTCCACTAACGACTCCATTGTGAGAGGCATAGAGTTTAATCTGTATGTGAATCTGGGTTGCACAGCAAAACTTCTCATTAAGTTTAAAATCATATTTTAGTTTTGATTTGAGGGAGCTCCCTGGATGATTCGCAAAACACTTTCATTGACAGGATGGAAGTCCAGTTGTATTTTATTTTTTTTATTTTTTTTGCATTTACCATGTCCTGGATGACTGAGAATTTACACCCACATAATACCATTTACATATAATTTAAAAAAAAAATTTAAATGAAGCTTTCATGTGAGTACAGAAAAAGTTATTCCTTTTGCAAAATAAAGTGCTTCAATATATAAACTTAAATCACTGTTTCATAGTTGGTACATGAAATAGAGCATAAAACTATTATCGCTGTGAGACATTTACGCCCACCATCCCATCCAGGTTGATGAGCGCGTGGATAATTGAGCTTCAGGAAGCTTCAGGATTATTTGTGACTTTCCTGCCAGTTCTGTGAGCTTCGTAGCGTAGATTTGTGTTGCAAAAACTTTCCCTCCATTTTAGCAGAACGCAGCGGCCAGAAGCACTGTTGGCTTCTGGGTAGTGTAGTTATTTTGACTGCCGTCACAGTATAGGCTTATTGAGAGAAAACTACAAAATGGTGGCGCCTGTCCGAAGTATTTTTTCTGTTGACTTTTTATCCCGTACCGTCCCAATCACATGAGTAATAAGTAAAGAGCGAGTCCGCGAAAGTCGAACCGTGAAGTAGCGAGGGATGTATACTGTTTTGTTTAGGGGTGCACTGATTGGAGTTTTCTGGCCGAGCACCGATCTCTAAAAAGCCTGACCTGCCGATTCTGATTTTGGCCAATACCGATTTTGTTTCAACTGAAAAACATACCCTTGAACAACCAAGTCCATGCTTAATAATCCAGGTATACAATCCAACATTTTTCAGTCCAGTCATCTGGACAGTTTCTTTTTTTTTTTTGTGCTGAAACGTTTCGCCTTCGGCCCGGTATTTACCCTTGAACAATATCTTAGAAACAATGCAAACTTGTTTTAACTGGCCATGAGGTAGTGCTCTGAAATATAAATTAAGTTCAGACAATTGTTAAAATTACTAAAAATCTGTAAAATCAGTTTCTCATGCAAGTATCGGCCGATCTCCCAAAATTAAGGAAATCGGGTTCGATTTATCGGTGCACCCATAGTTTTATTGGCAGAGACTTTTTTTCCACTGGAGGTTTTGATGGAAAAAGCTTAACTTAATAAGTGCAGTTTTTTATAACATCTTAATGTGCACATGCATCTATAAAGTTAATAATAAATTTAACATCTCGCCTCTGTTGACACGTTTTCGTATGGATGATTTGGTTAAAGTGGTAAAGTTAGCTCACTCTTACGCCCTTTTTAATGTTGCAGTCAATCGTGCTGACTGAATAGGTAAGAGTTTCTACAGGAGCCTGCAGTGTCCAAATCAGTCGGTCACTGCAAACTTCAAATGTGACAATTAGGAAAAAATCACATATTAACAAATTCTGTGTTTTAAAACAAGTTGTTTTCAGTGTTCAAATATGCAGTTCTGTCTGTTTTCTGTATGGAAGACATCACAAAGCTCTGCAGTAGATCTGAACGTTGATCGTCTAATTACAGTTTTACAAACGTCTTCCTCGTGTGAAACTGTTTCTGTCCAACTCTACAGACTTTGTTTTACATATCTCCTAATAGACAAACAATTCAGACCAGTCAGTGGGGTTAATGCAAAACGTTGAGGTTTGTTTTCTGTTGGTTATATTCTATAATAAAATATGTAAAAGGTTTTAGTTATCCATTAAAGTTTGATCAGTTTTACATGTTGTGCACTGGATGAGGAGATTCAAAAATGTTCAAGACAAAAACCACTGGACTTTATTTGTAACAGAAAGTCCAGTTGTTTTTGTCTTGAACTTTTTTGAATGTACCGTGTCCTGGATGACTGAGAACCTTCACCAGCATATTGGATGAGGAGAGGAATATGAACTTAAATAACGGGATATTATGGTAAATATCATTCATGAAAATAAATTACACAGGAATATTTTGTGCCTCAGTAATAAACATTTGATTGCGTAAATACATTTTTTTTGTTCCAAATCATTTAAAAGTTAACAAGAAGCTGCTTTAGAGTGCTCACTCTTGTTTCAGGCAATATAAGCATTTCCTTCCGTTGAGCTCTCTTAAAGAAGATCGTCACTAACTGAGTGGTTTCATTCTGACGCATACGGAAGAGGCTCACCTGTGCTTC